CCGGATCGACTGGGCCTGGGGCGGCGGTCGCAGGGCCAGGATGGCCTCTTCTATTGCGGCTTTCTTACGACATTCAAGGTTGCAGTCGCTTCTCTCCTTTCCATTACCTTCTGCAGCTGCAAGAGCAACCACTCCTGCTTCTTGATGAATGAACCGATTTGGCCGCTGCGCATGTCGTAGTATGCGAGGGCCCATGTCATCTTGGGAACCAACTTCGCTCGTTCGTAAACGTGCTCATGGACAGATGGTGCGACTCCCCGAGATGGGTCAGTGCCATGATATAAACCACTGTGCAATGCCATCCACTCATTGTAGGAATTGCACGGGCCCCCATCTGGCTTGCTCTTATTATTGACAGAAAGGTCTCTCACAACCAAATGTCCGCCATGCTCGGCGCGCGCGGGGAGCTATCGAAACATCAAGCGTGCCATCTCGCGGCCAGCGAGTAAACGAGATTCACAGCGCGCCGCAACTTCCACGCGAGACACCTGAGCTACGAGGTGAACCTGATGAGAGACCATATCATTCATCTGTCTCGCCTCGGCTAATTTCACGGTGAAATCAAAATCAACGGGCGCTTCAATGCGTTCATGTGCGCCTGTTTTCTGTCGAACGTTCGCACCTACCTCAAGGTCCATGGCGAGCGCGATCCACGCCGTAATACATGGCGCATCCGACGAAGCTGATGGAATCACCCTGGTTCCATTCACACGGTTCATTCGTATCGGGGGTTGGCATCCATTGAATCTCCGACGTCTTGCTTATCTGCTTCCAGAGCTCCATAGGGTAAAAGATTGGTCCTGTCGCCCATCACCGCCTCCTCCACCGTCGCCGCCCCCCCCCCCCCCCCTCCCGCCGCGCCCCCCCGCCAGCCGAGCCGTCGGAGGAGTCTGGCGGGCCGGGGTGGTCTTCCGAAGCCGTAGACAATTTGTCTGAGGATTCTTCGGTCGGTTTAAGGATCTGGGGGAACGTCGGGGTCGCCTTGAATGGTTTTCCCGCCTGCTCTGACTGATTGTCTTCTACTGCGACTAAGTCAGACGGTTTGGCCACGCGCTCGATTGCATCGCCCCGCGTGGCATCCTCCCAGGCTTCGCGTTCCTTGCGCAGGTTCATCAAGATCTCCTTCTGTTCTTTGATGAGATTTGCTATACGCCTTTGCTGCTTCCAATGTTGCGAGCGCTGGCGTTCTCCTTCCTAACGGCTTCTCTCTGCGTCTGCCGCAGCCTCGGCTTTGCTTCGGGCGCAACGTCTAGGGCGCTTCGTTGCAGTATCCAAGCGGTCATCGCAGCGCGGCGTGGGGAATTGCTTGAATTCTGCCACCCTGGGGTCGCTGCAGAGATGGCGTTTCGCAAGGTTGCCCGAAATCGTCGGTAACGCGTAGCTGCGGTCTTGTTTGAGTTGCCCGGTGGGAAGAGGTCCCCGGCCCCTGAAGCTAAGCCCCAGACGCCGTTCCACTCGCCCTGCCATTTCCTGAATGAAACACGCCCCCATGCGTCGCCATGTCAGCCGAGGCAACGACATGATCAGGCTCGGCTGCGCCATGGGACTTTCGGAGCATTACTGAATTACTGCGCGCCTCCTTCTGGCGCTCGAGATCCCCGCGTGCAAGGTGCAATCCTGTCTTTGCTTGTTCTGCGCGGTTGACAGCCCGATGTCCCCGGGGGCTCGTCTGATGCATCATCGATGTGGCTTCGCCCCTCGCGCGCTGCATTGCGGCGGTGGTTTTCTTGCAGCACTTCCCCCCCCCCCCCATCTGCTGCATTCCCTAACCTCTTGTTCAGCGAGATGCGCCATGTACAACGCGCGCGCCTCCTTCGTAACCAATGCCCCTGGCTCTCGGCGCTGTCTCCCGGAGTTTAAATTCAGTAAATTATTCAAACTCCGTCTTGCGTTGCTCAGCTTCTGACAAAGATCAGCAGGCTGCTTCCGAAGCAACAGTCTCATTCAGCTGCGCCTGTCAGACTGCGCGTTGAATGAGCTCCTCTTCGTTGCGTTTGTTCCGGAATATGTTCGTCCTCTTTCGGCCATGGTAGCCTGCGCTCTTGACGTCAACTCTTCTGTCATCTACCTTTCAGTCACCTACCTCTTCTCCGCTTCTGCCCGCTGCCACTCCAACGGCGCAGGGCGACGGCAGTTATGTTCTATCATGTCCAGGTATTCGGAGCATGGCAACTTGACGTTGCAAGATTGACAGGCGCGGGAGCACCCTGCGCAAACGGGCCTCTGACATGGCCCTTTTGGCCGGCGTGCCTTTTCCAAGGCATATATTCTCAACGGCGGGACAACATCTGGGCATTCTGGCCCAGCGCCCGTCTTTGACTGAAATGCCTGCTGAGTATGCCCCGCAAGATTATGCGCTGCTCTTGGCATTGGGGCGCAATTCAGATGTAGAGGGCGACGTTGACGGGGATCTCCTTCCCCTTCTGCCGTAGCGGTGAGTCGAAATCGGGGTAGAGAAAGGCCTACGGCTTTGACTTTCAATAGGAGGTCGAGAATTCTTGAACGAACACTCCACCTTCTCAGAGATCACGTTGGGGTAGCGCCTGTCCATTGCTTCATCCTCGGGTGTCCTACGGCGCGTTGGCTCAAGTGTATCCCCTGTGCAACTCTTTCATGATCTGATCGGGGGGTCACGCGAATCGCTTTGCTCTCGATAGATGAAATATTATACTTGACGTCTATGTCTTCTAGAACCGCAGATAATCACGCGACGTGCAACTAACCTTTTGTAACAAGATTGCGCGACCATCGGATCCCTGTCCACGGCGGGAACAGGGGGAGCGTCTAGCGACGAGAAAGTGTACACCAGGGGGAATGCCAATCACATTGTCTGAGACAGGCTCTCTCATGTGAGCACGGGTATCTTCCACATGAGCAATTGCGTCGTTGGGATCGATTGCGGTCGTCAACGCGTGTGGCCCATCACTGATGATTTCATTCATTTCGGCGGATAACCAGTCATTCGACAGAGAATCACCACTCTCGGCAAAAGTGGGGATTAGTGATATTGTTGTGTTATGGGTCTCAGTGCTCATGACTGATTTTTTAAGCAGTGGTATGGATATGCGGGAACGAAGAAAAAAATATGAGAATAAGAAACAGCAATACTGACTCCTCTCACGTTTCTCCCGCGTTCAGGCGGCGCGCGGTCATGTCTTGATCCTCATGCGACTGGTGCGGGGCAGCGGCGTCGGCAGCGGGCGGCGGCACCGAACACGCGGGGAGAGAGCATTAACTACTGAGGCTTATGCTGCCGATGATGATGATGATGATGATGATGATGACGATGATGATGATGATGATGATGATGATGGTGGTGATGATGATGATGAAGATGAAGATGATGATGGTGGTGTTGATGATGATGTTGATGCTGCTGGTGACGATGATGGTGATGGCCATGGTGACGGTGATGATGCTGATGCTGATATGTATGATGATGCTGCTGACGATGGTCTCCAGCAAGTGAGAGGAGGATCTCCAGGAGGAACATGCAACGGGAAGATGACGAGGGAACGGGGGGAGAGAAGGGAAGGGAAACGGGAGAGGATTGCCAAGCTCGATACAAGCTTGAAGAGTACCTAAACCAATCTTCAAGAATGAAACAGTCATCAACGAATATTGGAGACCGAAGAGTAGCTCACGGGAACGTGTTTCCGTAAGAAACCAAGTGTTGGACGACGACGGGCCACGTCCCTGAAATAAACAGGATGGCCGAAACCAAAAGCCAGCGGCCGCGCTGGAAACAGTCCACGAGTGGTGTCAATGGCCGTGGTGGAGCGGGTCCACGAGAAAGATGTGCATCCAGGCCCTTATTTGAGGTTTCGGCCATGCCTTGAGTAGCCCCAGGGACATTGGCGTTCCTGACTGCCCCAACTCCTGCGCGGGACCTGGTCCGAGGCCCCCTCTCCTCCCGCGGCTCTCGCGCTCCGTCGCGCGCGGACCCCAGGGCCCTCGGATGACCGACCTGGCAAGCCCCCCCCAGCGCCTACGGCTCATGCAAAGCCCAGCGATCCCCGACGCTCCGGCGACCTCCCTCGGTCGCCGCCGCCCCAGCCTTTGGCCCTGGGGGGGGGTCCCCAAAAGGCAAGGCTCGGGGGCAGGCGCTCGCGCGGCCCCAGGGCAAGGCGCGAGGGGGGGGCGTCCCCCTGGACGCTGCCCTGGTTTTATAGGCCTCGGGGAAATCCAACAAGGACAACAATTGGAGCAAATCGTACCCTCAGGGGGGCCCCCTGCAGGCCTAGGACCCGCACGGGCCCCAAGAGAAAGGGGGGGAGGGGAGGCACCCCCCCCAGATGCCGCCCTTGGATCTGTCCGCCGTGGGCTGGAAGGTGGGGTGGGGGTGGGGGGCAAAACATTAGATTTGGGCTCCGTAGCGCGGCCAGCACCCGCCGCGCGGCGCATGCCACGTCTCCTGCATTAGGGAGGCTTTGCCCGCAACACTCCAGAAGCATACGGCTTTCGCTCGAGCCCCCCCGACAAGTCCACCTCCTCCCCCCCCCACCTCATTCCCTCCCTCCCCTCCTCGTGCTCCTCCTAATTAGCCCTCCTCATTCTCGCCGCCTCCCTCTTCTTTCTGCATCCTGCACCCCTTCCCGTCCTCTCTGTCCCTCCCCCCCTTCCTGCACCGAGAAGGGCTCGCCTCCTCTCCCCTCCTCCCCCCCCCCCCGGCTCGTTCAGAATGGAATGACGACGGACACAGGTGGCCGCGGCCCTGCCCAGGGGGACACCTTCCCCTGGTGCGGAGACGCCTCGGCGGCGCTTGCGTTCAAGCTGGCTGCGGCGGGACACGGACGAGGCAGGGCGAGGAGGGGAGGAGGAGGAGAAGGAGGAGGAGGAAAAGGAGGGGGAGGAGGAGGAGGGGGAGGAGGAGGAGGAGGAGGAGGAGGAGGAGGAGGAGGAGGAGGAGGAGGAGGAGGAGAGAGGAGGAGGAGGAGGAGGAGGAGGAGGAGGAGGAGGAGGAGGAGGAGGAGAGGAGGAGAGGGCGGCGGACGGGCCGC